CATGAAGCCACCCGACCACCAACCGGAGGCGAGACCACGAGGCAGAACATAAGCAGCCCCGACAAGGCCCCCCAGGAAAAAGGCGGAGCCGCGAGAAGATCTCGGGCGCGACCACCGAAACCCAGGCGGCACAAGGAGATGGAACGTCTGCCGAACAGAAAAACTCCCCAAAGCATGCAAGCCCGCCAGGAGTTCAGAAACGACGGGTCCGACGCGAGACATCGCAAGACCCCCCCCCCCCAAAAAAAAACAACCGGCAGGGCAAGCTAGGAAAACCAAAGAAGGCGGAAGGGTCGCCGCCAGAACAGGACCCGAACCAAGGGGCACGAACAACTGCAATAGACCGAGACAAAGAAGCACATCACAGGACACAGGCTGACCAATGCCTAAGAACACACGCAGAACATCCCTGCTGCAGAGGAGGCAGGAAGAAAGAGCAGAAGCACAAAAAACCCCAGGAGAACAACCAGGGGTGGACAATCAGGCAGGGACAAAAACCCCACGCAATCCCCAGGCACAAAACGGCAGCAAAGTGCCACTCCACAACCGGACACAGGAACAAGGACACGCCACCGTGAAACACGGTACCAATGCACACGTGCAGCAGCAGCAACAAGCACCACTGCAACATGCAAATAGCAACTCCCCTCTGCAAAGGCAGAGAACGGAGCAGGCAGACCCCAGACAGGGCCAACGGAGACACGACAAAAACCCTGCAGGCCCAGAAACCTGCACCAGGCGACCGACGGCGGAGAAACCCCGCTCGATACCTGCTGGATGAGGTACTGGGAGCTCTTTTACACCTGAAGCCCGGCCCAAGGTCAGGCCAGAAAGCCAGAGGATGGCCCACCAGGCAGCTGCTAGGAGCAGTCCACCGGCCCACATACCCCCACAACCAGGACGGGCCGGAACTGCCATACGAAAACAGGCCAGTGCACCCTGGAAGTCCACGGACGAACCAGCAAGAAGGCTTATGCTTGCAAGTAGGTCGTGTAACAAGCACAGACCACTGATGGTAATACAGTGTTCCCCAAAAGTGCCAATAGCACCACTGCACTCCACTGGTACTATCCCGCAAGTTCTACCAGATAGGCGGGACCCAAGAGCCAGAGCTCAAATCCTGCAAGCACAGCCAGGAGCCTTACCAGGTGAGTACAGAACCAACCCTACAACCCCCACACCTCACAACATTAAAAAAGGAGGGTCCCCTGAATGACTCCAGCATGGGTTGGACATGCACATGAGGGGGACAGGAAGGGGTGATAAAGGGACAGTCACTGGTGTGCGAACGGTCTCAGTCGTACAAAAATATACCTAAATAAAGACAGGTATATAAACACCGCCGCATCCAGTGCCCGGCCAAATGACGCCAGACCGCAGAAACTCACCTGGCGAAGGGTGGCACGAACTTGACACGACTCAACCATGCCCAGAAGAACTTGGGAGCACCGCCAGGTGAAGACGCCAGAGCCGGACCCTGCCGGACCCGCAGGAGAACAGGGAGAGGCGAAGGAGGCGGTCCACACCCATGACACAGGGAAAACCGTGGTGTCCTCCCCACAATTGGGAACCAGGACACCCCCGGCGCGAAGGGGCACATACCGCAGCCAGGGAGAAGAACAAGAGGCGAAGCACTGTAGCAAAAAAGGGCGCAAAACCCCAGCACTGAAACACCGCCCAGACCAAAACAAACTCCACGGCGCATGCACATAACACGCTGGCCGAACCGCACACCTTCCCTGCGGGAAGGCGCCCGCCAGGACTACTGCACGAGAAAAGGAGCCAAAAGAGGAAGCAGGAACAATAAAACCGGCCAAAGAAGCAAAGAGCCCAAAAAGGAACCCAACCGGGTGACAAGTAGCCCAACCGGGCGACAAGCAGCCCAACCGGGCGACAAGCAGCCCAACCGGGCGACAAGCAGCCCAACCGGGCGACAAGCAGCCCAACCGGGCGACAAGCAGCCCAACCGGGCGACAAGCAGCCCAACCGGGCGACAAGCAGCCCAACAGGGCGACAAGCAGCCCAACAGGGCGACAAGCAGCCCAACAGGGCGACAAGCAGCCCAACAGGGCGACAAGCAGCCCAACAGGGCGACAAGCAGCCCAACAGGGCGACAAGTACGAGGAGCCGACAGACGTTCCAATAATGCGGGAAGTAGCGAAAAACCTTCCCGTACCCTCGAGAACACAGAAGCCAACACTAGTCCCGAAGGCACACGAAGGCGCACCCGAGATCAGAAGTCACGCAGAACCCCATCGAACGGGGAAACATGACAAAAACACCGTCCCAAAAAGGGGGGGGAGGAAACATCCACCCACAGGACGGAACCAACCGACTCAAAGGCCAAGGAACCGAGCCCGGGGAGGGGCCGACGTCCAACAGCACGTACGGCGAGTGGGGAGGAAAGACCCCACTCCGCGTAACCACAAGCCCCGCCTAGAGGGGGATAAAAACCCCCACGGGGTCTAACGGGGCCAAGGCCCCCCCAAGTCAGCCCCTCCCCAGCCCCGGGAACCTACACGACAGGCCCCGGGGCCGAGCCGTTCCCCCAAAGCCCCGGCCGTACCAGAAAACCGGGGCAGCCGTGAAAACACTAAGGAAGGGAGCCCACTGGCAGACTCATACAACACGGCTGGAGGAACAGGCCCAAATGCCCCCGTCACTACCCCGGAAGGGGAATTCCCCGAGACTGCCCGAGTCTCAACACCACCAAAAATCCCGCTCCGAACCTACAGACGGTAAGGAACCGGATGCAGGCAGGAAGGGTGAACCAGGGGAAAGACAAGGGGGTGTGGATGGAACCGAAGCAACCAACACCCCCAAGTCCCAAAACGAACTACAACGGGGCAGCCCCGGGGCTCCCGGGGAGGAAATCGCGAGAACGTTGCCACCACCAAGGCTCAAGTGCAACGCCCCTGCTGCCCGCACCCGCTTTGTTAGCACAACTGGGTAACCGAGCCACAACGAGCAACCAAACTCGCAGGACTCCGGGTCGAAGGTGTCACCGACCCCACAGGCAGCAGACGGAGGCAAAACAGAGAGTCACCCAGAGACAAAAGGTGAGAGCAACCCTCAAACTCGCTGGAAGCGAGGGGGGGACTCTGGGGTCACGTCCATCGGACCCGCGCGCCCCCAGGGGTTTCCCAGGGTCCCGAGCGTTTACTTTAAGAGGACTCGCGCTCAGGTAATCCCAGGCAGGGTACTGCTAACCGGCACCCAAAGCTACCAAACAACTTTCTAAGAGCTGAACCCCCGGGACGTGTACACTCACGGGGACCTAGCAGGGGTACCACCAGAAAATACTCAGAACACAAGGGACACAAGGGGCAAGAACGAAGGCAGACCCCCCCACCAGGTAGATTAAACAAAAAGAAAAAGAAAACCCCGCAAGAGGACAGCGTACCCAAGCAGAACAGAGCCGGCCGCTATGATTGGTAAAGACAAGCTGCACAGTACCCCGCGCCCCACCAGTGCAAACACTGCCCCTTACTCTAAGGCGAACAAGGGAGACAGAACACCCGAGCACACAAAGAGCGGCCGAAAACCAAGCAGTAAACGGCCAAACAGGGGCAGGACCCAAGGAACTTGCGCAAGGTGGCCCCAAGCCCCAAGGGCAGTACTTACAGGGCACCTAGGGAAGGGAACCCTAGGCGCATGCAGCCCGAGTACTGAAGAATCACTCCCGGCTCACGCACCACCTAGAAAACAGACACCACACTCTAGGGACAGTGCTGAAACAACCACTGGAGCCGGAGCACATAACCATTGCCTATAGCATCAGCCGACGAACTGATGGGTGGATAGCCGGTGTGGGGCTCCCCCTTCCCCCTCCTGGGGAGGGGGGAGCTGCGCAGACAGCGGCGCGGTGACGTATGACGTCATACTAGTTTCCTTGTTTTCTGTTGAAGAGTTCTATCCACTAGTTCGGCTTAGGTAGCAATTTTCACCAGAATAGGGGTTTGTTTTGGAATGCTTACCTTTCTGGATGCTTGACCCGGTCGATGGCAGACATAGAATACTTCCAACCACACAGGGGTTTCTATAGGCCATTGCTCCCCTTGCCTCTCTGAGGGGGCCAGGTTCTGGCTCGTGGTCCCCGGTAGGCCCTAGAACTCCATACACATGACTGATGCCAAAGTCTGACATTAGCATATCAGCCGGTAAAGCTCCGGGGAGCCGACGGGGCTCCCCCCAGAAAACAATGGTAAAAACATTAAAAATATAAAACACAGTACAGTATATTCAATGCTTGCAGTTAAAATATCATGTAAAGTGTGCAGGGTTAGGCTGAGATTGCATCAGTTGCATCACACCTACCAGAACTGCTTAGTGGTTTGCAGTTTATAAACATTTAGATACTAAAGTTATATTCTCTATAACAAGTGTATACAGCATGAAAATAGCAACAACAGTATTTTTAGTTGTTCAAGGAATATATTGTGCACATATTAGCGACACAAATATATTTGTGTGTATCAATGTTTCCATGCATTTTATTATAGAAAACCCCAGTGAAAACAAAACAGTGATGCTGAAATAATTACATATAAATACTGTATGTTATAAGCAATTCTCACCTACTGCATGGCCTGGGCAACCTCCTTGGGGCATCTTGTCCATTATTGCTCGTGAATCAATTACATCATTGCAAGATTTCCTCTCTCCACCACAGCCAAAGCTACAAATTTAATTTTCCTGTGATCAGGGAGTTATTTTTTTTTTTACCTGATTTACCAGAGGGCCACTAACCCTAGTAGCCGACGCCGACGGCTTGTCAAAGGTCAAATTTTATTTTAACAATTTTAACTATTAAAAATTGCAATTTCTCTTTTTCATGCACACCTGTCATATGATGAGTTGTCATATGAAACAGGCATGCAGTGAAGAGGTTGAAATGTAGATTGTTGAGCATCATGTAGCACAGTGACCAGTATACAGTGCTGGGATGAGTGGGGATGGTGAGTAACATCCAGGTTGTGGAATATATAAACTGTAACTTGTAAAACTTTCAGTATTGTGTTTACTTTTTTTTGCATACAAAATTGGTGAAACATATAAATAAACTCAAATTTAAACAGTAATAGTTCAGTCAGCAGCAGAATTTATAAATATATAGCACAGTACAGTACATAATTGTGCAAACTACAAAAAAAATTGGGCTAAATTTTTTACAAAAGAGTTGTACACTTAAGTCTAAAACCAAGATATTCTTAAAAACATTAATACAAAATTAATAAATTATTAAGACAGATGGAAGTGAAAGATTGACATGTACAAATACAGTAAATCAACTTCACAGAATAGCAGAGTCTATAATTGCATCATATTACTTATCAACAGATACAAATTACAAACTATTATTTTCTAATGTTTCATATTTCTAACATACATGAAAAAAATACGTTTATTCCTTCAAAATTAATACAAAAGTCAGTATCTGATATTTTATATAGTACCCTGCATAGTATATAATAATTTTTTACATTACCTAATTAAAAAAAAATATAAACAAACTACTATGTACATACTCTTCACATATATGCCAAGACTATTATCATCATCTGGTTGAAGCAATTTGATCATCAAAATACAGTACAGTATACACAAATTCATTGGGTACACGATTGATATTTTTTGGCAATAAAAAAGTTCTTGCAATTATCTCACTTTCCGAGAGGTCATGACCTCTCTGTAAGGTGCAGTCACACCTCCACAGATCTCCAGTATCAACTAATGATACTGGTAATGGCTCCAAAGGGCCACCACTTACGGGCTATTCATGCCCATGCCACCTTTTGGGTGGCTTAATCTTCATCAATCAATCTCGCTCGCTTTTTCCGTGCTTTGGCTGTTCCCTTTCACCACCTTCCTTTTTCTATTCAGATGTCTCTCTTACAAGCCTCCCTTTTAGTTTGTGTTGGCAATATATCTCCTCATGTCATTCCATCCTTACCTCCTTGGCAAGTCCCACTTGTGAAGTTTTGAAAGTCTTTGACCTATGTGATAAGAGACTTTTGCCCCTCCTCTTGTTCTGAAATAGAATCCCCTACAACTTTGATGATGCTACGTGCTACATAGCCTTCCCGGCTTGTTGCCTTCTTTTGATAATTACTTCATCAGACTAATGCACTCCATCAGATAAATTTGTTTTCAAACGTTGGAAATATTCAAATTGTTGTCCACAATTAAATAGCATCAGCAAGCTTTAGTAGCAATCATCTTTATATTTTATAGTCAAATTGGTAACTATTTTGAAATCAAGTTGAATGATAACAGTACAACATATTCTACAGCTGCTCTGATATTCATTACAATACCTACTATAACACTGATGGCAACACCTGCCATGACATCCATGATAATTTAACCATTTAGTTGTACATTATGTAAAATACAATACAGTTCATAAAAGCAGTTTTTTAGGCTTTATTCTTTCCCTGCATTATGTCATCAAAATTCCATAAAAATCATCATAGTTGGGATAAGTTAGTGGAAGTAGTAATAACAATTAACAGCATACAGTGCTCAACAAACTTTAAAAAACTAATAATTATCAGCCTATAATAAGACTTGAAAATATCAGTTGCACAAGTCATATATACTCAAGGCCCAAATACTCTTGCCACTCCATCATTTTCCATTATGGTTACCAATCTGAGCTTACTATTATGCAAGACTTGTACACAAAGGTAATCTGACACTAATATCCAGACCACATAAATGTTCTTAATAAGCTTTTGTCATGGAGTCTCGCTCAAGCTCAACTGTAACACTAAAGTCTTCTTGAAATACATTCCACGTTTTACTTTTGTGAGGGTTGTCTAACTCTTGCCGACTCAGCTCAAGCCTGAAAGTGTAAAGACAGCCTTTCAGTGTGTCTTATCATAATAATCATAGACACTTTACCTTACAAAGCTTTGGAGCTAGCTCTAGTGAAAAATAGTTGTAGATAAAATTATCACATATTGAATATACTGTATTATATGTTCATAAGAAAGCTCCAAAAAATAATTTTCACTCATAGGACCATTATTAAAGAAATTTGGCAAGGCAATTACCAGTGTATCAAAACTTTCATTAACCTTTCTAACCATTTAAAGTACCATTGGTCTATGAAAGCCTTAAAATAATCAGCTCAACTCATCAAAATACTCACTTGCCATTGCTAATGAATCCAGTATGGAACCAAAAGAAGAAAGGACTCTTCTCATACCCACGTGGAATCTTTCTCTGTCATATAAAGAATTAAATTAGAAAAGTACGAAAAATAAACAATGTGGAGCAAGTTACTGTGTAACCTTCCAAATCCAAGCTTCACCAGAAGTTGGATTACAAAAAAAAAAAAAAAAATCAGCAATATGGAGGGAAATGCAATGAAATCACGGGTTCGTCGTATAATTACCATCAGGTCATTTTTTTTATGTTTGCTAAAAGATAAAAATGTATTAAATGTAATGAAACACCTATCCATCGCTGCCCACTGGATGGGGGGAGGGTGGTGTGCAGGATATACATATCTTGTGAGCTAGTGTCACAATTGATATGTAAGTTGCTTAGGTTAGAGACTGTACTTGTGGTTAGTCTCAACCCATTGATAATGTAACAATATAGATTAAATTCTGTAACTAGCTTATCAAGACTACCACTTGCTTATCTAAATGAATTTTGGGGTTCAGTCCCTGAGCCCATTATGTGCCTCTGTAACCTATTTCCACTACCGCCCACAAGATGGGTATGGTGTGCATAATAAATGAACTAAATTAACTCTGTTGGGCCTCAGTGGCTTCATGTAGCTAGCAAACGGAGGTAGTACCACACACGAGTCACATCAGACCTAGGAGTCCATAATAGCCTACAGCACTGGCTAGAAGACACACACTTTGGGAAGCACTAAAGCCCAAGATTCACACTTCACCAGAAGCCTACCCCAACCTATCACTGGAAAGGCCCTAACCTAGGAAAAAATTCTTTGAGCAGCAGAGAAAGGACATCTTTATGAAAGAACCTGACTGAAGGGCCATGATGCACAACCTCAGCACAAAGCACCGAAGAAATGGCCACCTCAGTAAAAAGGAAGGACGAAAAGGGGGAGGTAAAAAAACAGGGTTAGGAATAAGTCTCCACTTCTTCCTGAAGGAGGGGGAGTGAGAAACTTGGGCAAAGTTGCCAAAGCCAAAACAGTAGAAACAAAGAAGGGGTGTCAGCAGTGTACCATATGTCCAAGATCCTGAACCCTAGAACTTTCTCATCCTTAGAGCCTCACAGAGGAGTCAATGTCTCTTGTATTACTCTAGATGAACACAGTAGGAATGAATTCCTGAACTCACCAAGGAAGTTACCATCAGGGCAAAGGCATAACTAGATGAGCACAAGTCCAACAAATGGCTACTCAAGTTTAACTTGAGCAAGTGCAAGGTTATGAAGATAGGGAGCGGGAGGCCAAACACAAGGTACCAACTGAGAAAGGAAATCCTTCAGGAGTCAGAATGAGAGAAAGATCTGGGGGACACTAAATCTGTCCCCCAAAGCCCACATCAAAAGAATAACATCAGCGGTGTATGCAAGGCTGGTGAACATATGAACTGCCTTCAGAAACTTGTGTAAAGAATCAGAACCTTTTATACCACATATGTTAGACCAATACTGGAATATATGGCTCCAGTATGGAGTCCATATCTAGTTAAACACAAAACAAAGTTAGAAAAGGTCCAGAGGTGTGCCACCAGGCACACCTTTCCCTGAGCTGTGAGGAATGAGCTATGAAGGAACATTACTGGAACTGAACCTCAAGACACCGGAAGACAGAAGAGTTAGGTGGGGACATGATCACTACCTACAAAATTCTCAGAGGAATTGACAGGGTAGATAAAAGACCATTCTTCAGCTACGTTATTGTGACTCATCTTGTGCATAAACTGTTTAACATGGGTGGTATGTGAACAAGGGGACACAGGTTGAAACTGAGTACCCAAATGAATCATGGTATATTAGAAAGAACTTTTTCAATGTCAGAGTATTTTGAAGTTATCTTGAGATGATTTCAGAGCTTAGTGTCCCCACGGCCCGGTCCTTGACCAGGCCTCCTTTTAGACTTGGGTTAGAAGACACAGATATGCTTTTTTCTCTCTCTCAATCTCTCTTAGTTTTTCCTTCCCTTTCATTCTCTGCCATACACGTACATTTACGTTTACAGTAGAGTGAAGGGGAGGGAGGTCCCACTGGTAAGCGTGTCAAGGAAAACCCAGCACAAGACGCCGCCAGAGTAGCAGGCGCTGGCCCTGTCAACAAGAAGAGCAGTGTCTTTGCCAGCTCTCTCCCTCTCTCTATGGTGTGGGTGCCGGAAGCCACTGAGCAACCGGGGACAAGAAAGAAAGATGTTGGGGACGGGTGTCGCGAGCGCCACAGAGATTTTAATGCAGTATACGGTGCTAAGACTGTGACTTGCGCCGGTCGGACTGACTTACATAACATACTCTGGCTGTGGGTGTTGACCCCGCCGTTCATCTGCTTTCTCCTGTCCCACAGCAATTGGGTGCGGCTCCCAAGGCCACCCTAGTTAGGCTAGTAGTTAAGTCGTGTGTAGTGTTAAGGCTAGTAGTTAACAGATGGAATGCATTAGGCAGTGATGTGGTGGACTCCAGATTCCCCCCTGCAACCACAACTATGTGAGTACTAAGTGAAGAACTTTCCTAAGCACATGCAAGTTGAAAGTGAACAGTTTCTAGCATGCACAAAACAGGTGAGGCTAGTAAACATGTGCATGTGAAGCTAACACTAAAGCATAGAATACACAAGCAAATGCCCCTTTTCCCTTTCCACCCCCCCCCCTCCACAGAACAGAATCCAAAGGATGGTAACATTAATGTAGAAATAATTGTGATCCAAAAGGCCTGCAACAAAAGGAGTGATCCAAACAGTTGGATAATAGATGCCAACTAAGGAACGTGAAAATCCTTTGGAGCAAGGTGGAGATTTGAATGAATATTGTAATGACTTCCATCATATGCTGCTCCTTCAGAAGGAGAGGCGCATGGTGGAGAACACCAGTACCCACGGACCAGAGTGTAGGTGAGCTATTGGTAAACACCTGGTTGTGGCATCAGACTGGGGCCTCCAGACTCTCCCAGTAGACTCGGTAGAGTTATGGGTTGAATAGCTTATGTCCTAACATGCGGAATGGGTTGGGGCAAGCATCTGGGATTCACTAAAATGCTGGTTCAAATCCCAACATTGCTCCAAATGATTTTCACATTAATATATATTGATGATTTCTTTGTGAGACTGAGTAATGTTGACATGGTAAGCCAGTAGGTCAGAGTGCTAATACCCGCCCATCAGTGATCTGCTATAACTAAAGGGTTTGAACTACCTACTGGATGGATCCTTTGCAGTCATTTGCTGCTTCATTTCTTTTCTTTGTGAACCTTGCAGTTGTCTGTTTTGCTTAGCTTTCTTTCTGGAGGTTTCCTTGGTGAGGATGACTGTATTGGTTCCCTGCTCCCAGTGCCTCTGTGAGGGGAGCTAGACTCTGACTCTGGTCTCTGGTAGGTTATTGTGAACTGCTAGGGCTGTTGTGACTCACGTGTGCAGCCATCTCAGTAATACTAGCTACAGGAAGTCACCATTTGGCTCCTCCAGAAAGATTTTTTTTTATATTACTCAAAATTTATATTTTAGAAATGTTTACCTAAACTTGTACTGTACAGTACTATAATACAAAATAAGTTTGCTTGAAATATTTGTATGCCTTGAGGCTTTATATGCTTTGGAGTGTTTTCCCAGTGTGCTAGTGCAATCTGACCTATGATTACTCAAGCAATTTCACTGGCATTTCTTGTGAAATCTCTTGGGTACCCTTGGCTCAACAATGCTGTAACTTGCTTAGTTAAACAATTTTGGGATTCAGTTCTTGAGGTCACTATATACAGTACTAAACCTTTTCTACCATAATTCTTTTAACTACTTACACTATCAGTGAAGAACATAATTCTAGTGTCACCACGGATAACCGGGGCATTGACCAACTGGATGTGCACTACAGCATTCAGCTTCTCTACTGTTACCTGCAAGCATGCAAGAAACGTAACTGTTTCATATATATTATACATACATACATACACATTATTATGTATTACATATACAAGAACACTATGAGCCTAGATATTAACAGATTAAATTGTGAATCTAAAACTACAGTAACTAAGTTTATTGTTAAAAGTAACAGTTATTTCAAAGATGATAAAGGTGTTCCAGCATTACACCTAATGGCATCACCATAATTAAATACAAATGAAATGAAATAAAAAAATAAATGTGTATACTACACTAAAAGCTTAGCATTATTTTATCAATCTTAAAAACTACATCAATATCAGGCACTTGCAGTATCATCGTTACTGTCATACATAATTGAATCTAAAATTAATTGTGGGTTATGACAATTCCTGACTCATCTAATACTACATATATATAGCAAGATAATGAATCAAGACTGCATGAATAAAACAGAATCAAAGCTTACAAGACCCATCCATCCAGAGGCATGATCAAATCAAAAGAAACTCCTCCCAAGGATTCTCCAAAAATTTGATTTTCACTTGAGGGAATAATGGGTAAACAGTGGGAAAAATAAGTCAAGAAGCAGACAAAGAATCGTGAAACAGACAACCCACAAGCATTTAATGGGTGTACAAAATCTATGAGGTACACATTATATAACATCATAGTCACCAACTAGGCACAGAAATTGAATACTTTATCAATAACATAAAAGCGTGTTAATTTATATCGAGTTAAATATTATATTTTATCCTTTATGATGAAGCCAGACTGCTCTAAAGAGCAAAGAGATTTCAAGCGAAAAATAAATGTTACATTTCTTACCTTGCAGTTTCTTTGAGTAGCAAGATTAGCCTGGAAGGGAATGGTGTGGCATCGACTCTGAAGAGTAAAGTAGAACTCTGATCCATCACCGGCACCCACAGAATGCATACCATGTAAGGTTATTCTGGTAACAACCATTGGTATCTCTGGAGGAAGCTGCCCTCCGGCCCGCACCACATGTTCATAGTAGCCAACATACCGACTCTGGTATAAAAATATGTGAATGCAGTTGCTTGTAAATATTATTTATTACAGGATAGTTGGTTTACTGTACTTATACAGTACAGAGATTTCTAGATTAACTGGGCCACAATTATCCGAATCATTGGATAAAGCAACTTGTCCAGTTCAAATACAGTCTCCAAGTTAGTTGTCAAATCCATAGGCCAAATCAATGGAAGATCATAATGAAATAAATAGTGGTGAGAACTTGATCAGACAGATTGATAAATATCTGGATTCTCTGATTCTCTGGATTAAACACCAGGGGTTGGATCATCTGAATTTTGATAACGAACTGATCCCTCTATTAAACAATTCAAATTCTACAAAAAGTAACAGCGTATTTTCATGCAAGTATTTCCCCAGGCAAGTGAGAAATACTTGGTTTAGCCTCACTCCCAGTATCTACGCTAAGAGCTGTTCACACCAAAAATGAAAGGTTTCAAAGATATTTCTTGGTTTCACATTAATAAAATGTGCATTTCTTTTTTTATTTATTACTATACAAGGTTTCAGAAAAATTCATATAATTTTGTAATCTAATAACTTGACCAATTCTCATTCAAATGATCTGAAATTTTAATAGTAAGTGAAGAAATAACTAAAAATTCTATATTTAATGTTTTTTCTTGTCAGATATAGAAATGCCATTCACTGGAAAAGAAAAGTTGTTGTGTGTGTTAAGAGTATGCTCGAATACAGTCAAGCAAGTCTGTGCAGTTTGCATTTGTGAGAGATTTGCTTAAAATGCACCAAGTGCATTGCAGATTTGGATATGCCACAAAAAAAGTTCAAAGAGGAAGGCTGTCTGTGCAGGGCAAAAGGATTTGGACAACAACCAGTATTGGAAGAGATGGTCAAGTGGGGTTTGGGAAACATTTTTTGCAGAGCCCCAGGAAATCCATAAGAAGAGCAGGTCTGGAACCCAGGATTCCTCCAATGACAGTTTGGCGTGTCGCAAGGAAACGCTTGCTAATGACACCCTACAAGCTGCAGCTCGATCACGCCTTACAGACAGATGACAATTAAAAGCTCAAGTAATTCTGTGTTGATATGCATGAGAAACTTGAAGAAGAAGAGTTTGAACAACGTCTTGTGTTCAGTGACGAGACCACATTTCATACAAATGGCAAAGTCAACAAACATAATGTTCACATTTGGGGGTGAATAAAATCCCCCCCTCCCCAGTGCCACAGTTGAGCACACAAGGGACTCTCCAAAAGTGAATGTTTTCTGCGTCATCTCCAAGAACCATCTTCATGGCCTGTTTTTCTTTGAAGGAAATGTGACCGGCGATATTCATCTGCACATTCTTCAGAATTGGCTAATTGAGGAGCTCATTACAAATGAACATGAACACTTCATTTTTCAACAGGATAGGGTTCCACCTCACTGGAAGTTCACTGTGCAGGCTTATCTCCTTGAGAATCTGCCAGGAAGATGGATCGGGCTGATGAACACGGTGATGAAGGCAATGGTGATGGTGATGAAGACAATGCTGTTAAAATGGCCGCCACATTCAAATCACCTGACACCTTAGGAAGGAATTTTATGCAATGTCAAGTACCGCATGCACAGAGAAACAATTGTGATAATAGCCACATTAAGACAGTAACATAACCATGAAACGGTAGCAGGATTTTTTCAAGAGTCAAGGTAAACTCCATTATATCCACATAGAGCTATTATATCCTTATTTACATCATACATGTAAAACCTAGATAATTATTGTTTAAATAATCATATAATGGTAACCACTGTCTAAGGGTCAAGTCATATAGAACTAAAAAATTAATTTGGGTGAAAACAAATTTTTTTCTTAGTGCCGGGGGGATAGAAACATGAAACAGTACCCTGTATAACCACATTATCCTTCTTAACTGATACAGTAGCTCTCACAGTCTCCACCACAGTGAATAATGTGTCTGAGAGTGGTTCATAAATTCCAACTTCCAATGGCAAGCTACTGTATATGGAACTAACAAAAAACAAATATTAGTCAATACTTATTTGGCAAATATCCACAAATAGTCAAATTTCTTAGTTTTTAGTCCCAAGCTGTTGGATAATAAGTAAATTACTGTACCAATATATTGAAATGTATTCCCTGAGAAGCTCTGTTGTCAGCACAGTAAGATGTTATTCTCTACATTCATTTCTGTAGACATACTGTACTTATTACCACTTGTCAATTTACAAATACTGTATATTCAAAAACATTTCTAAGTCTAATGATATTTTCTGTACAGTACTTCACTTAGAATTTTTTTTGTAACTTAAATTATTTTGATTTTCTTCACAGTTGACTTCTAATAAATCTATATGATGTTGGTCACACATTTTAGTGCCCATTGGAGAGAAGCTCACAAACAATTAAATGGAAAGTATGTAGTCTTTATTTTTGTTTCCCGTCATTTTTTATTATCAAATAGAGGAAGGTGAATAAGGTGCCGAGTTTGTTTTGAGTGTCCATGCATCCATCTGAAAGCCCTTATTATGTAACATTACAATAATTCCTATTTATCAGCAGATTTTGTAGAAAAGGTAAGGAGTAAACATGGGTAATCTTTGACCTTGTTTACCTTCGTTAATTTGGTGATGATAAATGAGCATATCTGAGGTGATAAATTTCCATTTATCATTTAAGATATGCTCAGTAAAATCAACCACATAGTTATGAAGAAGAAACATCATGTAATAATTATATAATTTTCTGTGGGGAGCCCCTACGGCTCCCTGGAGCTTACCGGGCTGATATGCATGTATTGACTGTGACGTCAGTCGATTGGAGTTCTTGCCTACTGGGAACCACGAACCAGAACTTGGCCCCCTTAGGTACAAGGAACAATGGCCTATGGAAACCCCCATGTATTTGGAAGCATTCAATGTCTGCCCTTGACCGAGGTCTGGCACCCAGAAAGGTAGGCGTAACAAAATAAACCCCACATGGTAAAATCGCTACCAAAACCCAAACTGATATGCAAAACTCCCAAACTAAAACAAGCATACGTCACTAACGCCGTTGCGCCGATTGTCTGCACAGCTGGCCTCCCCCTCTTCCTTGTGCGGACAATTGGGGCTGGCGGGGCAGGCCTCTTGCCCTGCACTCTGTTGGGTCATCTCGGAGTAGGCGCTTGGGTGTGGTCAATATGACCCCGTCCCTCAGTGGGTTTCCCGCCTGTTTCCAGTGTGCGGATCTGAGGTTCATTCTGGACTTGTTCCGCCTGAATCCCCTGGATCTTTTACCCCTCTTTTGCCCCAGATGACCACTCTATCCCAGGTCCGGCTTCTTTTGGAGCGGGATGTTTAGATGGTGTCTTTGGACCTCCAGGACACGTATTGGTACGTTCTGATTTATCCGGGGTTCAGGGACTGGTTAAATTTTGTGGTGAGGCAGTAAGCTTTCCACTTTTGTTGCCTTCCATTTGGCCTGAATCTGGCACCTCGCACATTCACGCTTCTCACCCGGGTCTTGGTGGCCCATCTACATCTGTTAGGTGTTCGGGTTCTGGCCTACCTCGACAACTGGCTGGTGTGGACTCCCAACTGGTCTGTATGTCTGCTCGCCAGGGGTGTGGTTGATTCCCAGCTTGCTGTGTTCAGGTTCCTGGTGAACTTGAGAAAGTCCCTCTGGTTCTGTCCCAGGTTCGGACTTGGCTGGGTCTTGTGTGAGACTCTCAGACTGCTTCCTTGTCTCTCCCTCTGGACTCCTTGCTGCACCTGCAGTTCCGCATTCGTCTGTTTCTGGAGGGCTCCTGGGTCACTAGGCGGTTGCTCGAGCAGCTGTGAGGTAATATGAACTTCACCATGTTTGTTTACCCGCTGGGTCGGGTGTAGCTTCAGCGGCTGTTCTGGTTCCTTCAGCACTCTCCTTTCCGCCGCTCTCGCGATCGTTGGGTTCAGCCCCCAGAGGCTTTGCGTTGGTTGCTACGTCGCTGGCTTCCTCTTTGGGTCTTTCTGGGTTCAGTGCCTTGGCGCCTATCCGAGCCCTCGCTCGATGTGTTCACGGATGCCTCGTCTCTAGGCTGGGGCTTTGTGACTGCAGTGCTCACCAGGCCAACCAGGGATGGTGGGCTCTGTCCTTTTGTCGGGCTCACAGCACGGTGTGGAAGTTCGCGGTGATTTGGCTGGTGCTTCAAAGGATTCGGGTCGCTCAGTGTTCAACAATCAGGCTCCATTCAGACTGTTCTCCAATGGTTCATTGCCTGACCAGCGGGGGTTCTCTTGGTTCTTTGGGGCTGGTCTCTTCAAGTGATTCGTTTGCTGGTTTCTCAGGGTTTGGCCCTCTGTGTAGTTCCTACTCGGGGAGTGTCCAACATCCTGGCGGATGGCCTATCTCGATTCATTCCCCTGTCCACGGAATGGACGGTCGACACCGACTCTTTCAGTTGGCTCTGCTGGATGTACAGACTTCAGGGACGTGAATTTCTTCGCATTGGCATGGTCCTGGTGTCTTCCTGTGTATGTGGTGCCCTTCCCTGATTGCGAGGCCTTCGCAGTAGATGCCTTTCGGCAGGACTGGTCGAGGTGGGGTTACCTGTACCTCTTCCCCCCAGTCCAGCTGTTACTTTGAGTAATGGCTCGGTTGGAGACTTACCAGAGGTGAGTAGTCCTGTTGGCTCCTTGGTGGCTGGCCCAGCCTTGGTTTCAGGGGCTGCTTACTCGGTGTCCGAATCCGTCATATTTTCCAGGGCTCTGTCTCTTTCAGTAGATTGGCCTGGTCAGGTACCTGGCTGGTTCAGTCTTCTCATCTGCCCTTCGCGTCTGGTCTTTCTGACGCGAGTCTATCACCATTTGTATGGTGATCAGGTGACTTGGTTGATGATGTCCCACTGAGACATCACGCGAGCTTCGTCTCAGCAACAGTATGAAGTTTCCTGGTGCTCTTTCTGCCATTTTCTCTCCTCTCTTTGTAGGATGTCCTCTATTTCAGATAGGGTTGTCTTGTCCTTTCTTTCTTGTTTTTTTCAGGACCGTCATTTGATGCCTAATATTGTCGCCTTGTATCATGCAGTGCTGGCGGAGTGGCTTCAGCTTGCATTCGGGGTGGATGTTACTTCCGCTCCGTTCTGTAAGCTTTCTCATGCTTTGTTTCACCTCCAGCCTGCTCATTTGCTGCCTGAGCCATCCTGATCCTTGGACAGGGTTACCTGGTTGATACCTGGTTGATGGGGTTCTGGGAGTTCTTCTACTCCCCAAGCCCGGCCCGGCCCGAGGCCAGACTTGACTTGTGAGAGTTTGGTCCACCAGGCTGTTGCTTGTAGCGGCCCTCAGGCCCACATACCCATCACAGCCTGGTTGGTCCGGCACTCCTTTAAGAAAACAATCTAGTTTCCTCTTGAAGATGTCCACAGATATTCCGGCAATATTTCTGATGCTCGCTGGTAGGACGTTGAACAACAGTGGACCTCTGATGTTCATACAGTGTTCTCTGATTGTGCCCATGGCACCTCTGCTCTTCACTGGTTCTATTCTGCATTTTCTTCCATGTCGTTCACTCCAGTACATTGTTATTTTACTGTGCAGATTTGGGACCTGTCCCTCCAGTATTTTCCACGTGTATATTATTTGGTATCTCTCTCGTCTCCTTTCTAGTGAGTACATTTGGAGAGCTTTGAGATGATCCCAATAATTTAAGTGCTTTACCTCGTCTATGCGTGCCGTATATGTTCTCTGTATTCCCTCTATTTCAGCAATCTCTCCTGCTCTGAAGGGGAAGCGAGTATTGTCACGCAGTACTCAAGACGGGACAACACAAGTGACTTGAAGAGTACAACCATTGTAATGGGATCTCTGGACTTGAAGGTTCTCGTAATCCGTAACTAGTTCTCTTGAAGGGTGCTCTCCTTTCTCTTCGGTTTGTGGTGGCCCCTTCAGTAAAAGATTGTTTTTCCAAGGCTCTTTTCCTGTTGGCACTGGCTTCTGGGGGCCAGTGCCAACAGGGGGTCATGGAGCTTAATGCTCTCCTCCAGTGCAGAGGTTGCTGCTCTCTCAGTCTTGGTGGTAGGTTTGTTCATTTGCAGCTGTCTCCCTCTTTTCTGGCGAAGAATGAGTCGGCAGCTTTCCGAAGGGGTCCTTGGGTCGTTGATGCTTGGTTGGTCCGGGGTGCATCATGTGTTGTGTCCAGTTGCAGCTCTTCATCATTATCTGCACGCCATGGCCTCTGTGGCCGGGGATGCGCTTTGAGTTGACCCGGTTTTCCTTGTTCTCTGTTCCAGGGCGTGGGTCTCCTAGGTCATTTGGTGCGACGGCATTAGTGATATTTGCTTGTTTTAGTTTGGGAGTTTTGCCTATCTGTTTGGGTTTTGGTAGCAATTTTACCATGTGGGGGTTTGTTTTGTTACACCTACCTTTCTGGGTGTCAGACCTCAGTAGATGGCAGACATGGAATGCTTCCAAATACATGGCGGTTTCCAAAGGCCATTGCTTCTCGTGCCTCTCTGAGGAGGCCAGGTTCTGGCTCGTGGTCCCGGTAGGCAAGGACTCCAATCGACTGATGCCACGGCCTAATACATACATAGCAGCCCGGTAAGCTCCAGGAAGCCTCCGGGGCGCATGCAGAAAATGGCATTTCATTACATTCAACACTGGTTTTTTTGCAGCCGCCCCCAATTCTACACTGAAAAGGTGAGTAACTAGGTCTTTAATTAATGGAAGAATATGCAGTGCAATTTTGGTATTTGACACAGGTCGGGGGTGTCTCCTGACAAGATGTTTGCTCAAATAGAACCGAACAGTACACCATATCTTAAGGGTTACACTATTGCAAGTTTCACTAATGTACATTTCCTCATTCACATATTCCCTCCATTGACTAATTGACTAACAAGTAAATAAATCAAATATGTATTCATATTTTACATACCTGACTTGGAGTTTCCACTCCTTGGAACTTTGAAGCTACATTTTTGTCTGTGCGGCGATCTCCAAAGTAACCAAGGCAATGTTCTGCATCACGGAATATCCCAAGATCAATGAGAAAGACACAAATCATTGTTCCAGTTCGACCCTTGCCACCCTTACAGTGGACAGCTATTACATTTTTATCATCTTTATTCATCCAGTCACGTACACTGGCGCTGAATTTTACCATATCCCTGTGAATGGGAAAAATATGTACTGTATATACAGTATGTACAATTACAGTATTACAAAAATAAGAAAAAATTGTATACTGTAAAATGTATTTATATGCACAGGATGTACAGTATATCATCCTGTATATGCACAGGATGAGTGGATTTAGGAAGTGACCTTATAAGCATAATCAAGGCAGCCCACAAATTAGTACTTCTAAATTAAACTTTTTTTATATCTATTCAGTATATACAATTAAATTATACCTACAGTAGGCTTCAATATGGAATCCTACTTTTTCATCTCAAGCAAAGGTGGACAAAATACTGTATAGATAATTTAATGAGCTGGGTGGATGACTACATGTATGGCCTCTTCCTTGGCTTGGAAGACCTCAAATACATTTAACAGACTTCCTACCCTGTGTCAACAATATTCTACAGCTAACATTAATAATAACACTATCAGTCAGCTATTACACAATTGCAGCAATTACAAAGGTGCAGTCCAACCTATTTCAAACAGCTTAAGTACATGCGAAAACAAATTTATGCCTCCTGCCAAGAGCCCCTTAACCAATAACATTCAAAGGATGCAATGTACAATATAACCATACAATGCATACCAACATATGCAGAATACTAAATATCAAAGGTGTCATGGCTAACCCACATTACATATAACAAAAACCAATTCTCCATGAACCATGAAAAAGGGGTCCTCAAAATTTCACAGGAAAATGGAAAAATATCATGCTCCACTCTTTGATGACGACCAACAAGCTCATGCTAAACCTACACAAAACCTACTGTATTTTACAAAATTTTGTTTAGAGATAATCCATCTAACCACATATAACAAACTTCCTCAAGCCCATTATCACCCAGCAAAAAGATTTTAATAGTTTATATTCTGAGTGCATATTGGTGATAAAATAATGGGGCTGTGTGATGAGATCAAACTCCCATCTCTGGACTCTCCAGGCACACGCTCTACCAACTAAACCATGATGACCATGCTTATTTGCATGCCTTGTGTTACGAACCAGCATTTGCAGAGGGTAATGTTCAATGCTCTGTGTTATAGCAGGCTGGTCCCTCAGTGATGGCTTAAGTTAAACGTGACATGTCTCCGTGCCATACCTAATATTCACGATAAGATAAATGCCAGAGATTCTTATCCAGCTTGGGAAGACATTTACAAGAGTCTAGTAATGTGACATTGTCTTGGGGATCCAATGGCTCCTGAGTCAAGGAAGTATCTGAGGGATCAACTCAAAAATTTTGGGAAGATTTTCAATGGTCTGTAGGGAAGGAGATCTTTTTCTTACTAGAAATGGGAAAATGTGAGGAAACAATACAGAGTGCCATTTCAACCTTAGGTGTGAACTATTATAAATGGTAATGTGGTGCTATTGTGAAAAAGTTCAAGAATACTTTAGAAGGGAATATTCAATATACTGTAATTTATTTGTATTAATCACATATATAATAAAGGATTAGATAATCTTAAATAAATTTCCATTAAGTAACCAAACTTCCATAGAGATAAAAAAGCAAACTCACACAAGAGGAGGAACGTTGTGGTCATCGATAAGGAAACGTTCGACTCTATTATGGAAACGTGATACATCGTAATGTCGCTCTGAGCAAAGGTTGTAGAGGCGGTAATGGCCAGGATGTTGACTGTCCATAAAGCGAGCGACTTCCTGCAATGAGAGCCTTTGCTATTATCTAGCTGGTAAAGAGTGTTCTCCATCTCTTGACAGCACTCTAATATACAGTACAGTACAGTACGTAATGTATATTGTAATACATTAATGTTCTTTCCGATATGGAAATTGTGGCATTATATTAAGCCTCTCACTCCATGAATAAACTTTTAATAACACTGTAGATTGCTTTCTAAATCTAATGTTAAATTTTGTTACAAATAGTATTGCTAGAAATTATGACTCATAAACAGAGTACAGTATATGCAGTAAATGCATAACAGACTAAATATAAATTATGTTCACCAAACCTTGCTTACTCTCCAACAAGTTTTCTGACACATTTCCTTGATATTACCCTTTAAAACATGAGTATGGTTACTATAAATAGAGATAAATGTATTATTTGTTGTAATTTCTATAAACATATATTACTGCAAAGTCATTTCTTTGGTATTATCACTGGAATGACCATAATCACTTTTATATAATAAAGAATATATATACAGTATTGGCAATTTTGTAAGGTCTGCTGATTTGTGTATCATATAGAAATTTAATTAAAATCAGATAAAAACTAACAGTTTGAAATTTGAATTTGTCTGCCATAAATGCATCACAGCAACTTTAAGAATAAGAATAAAAATAAAATACCCAAGGTTGACTGATTTTTTTCAAATAATGCTTAAAATGTACCCAATATGCTAGGCTTTCTTATGGCAGCAAAAACAAACATTGAAAAGTATTGAAAAAGCTGGTTTGAGCCCTTTAAAACAGTAGCATAAATCATTAAATTGGGTAATTACAAATCATGTGTGAGAATAATGTTTCTTACCTTAATATCATTCCTATACATGGACATTTGACCCGTAGATGGGAAAGACATGGCAATGACTCTAGGAGTGACATAAGTGAGGTCTAGATCAAAACCATTTTGTTGGTAGCGCCTCTTATTCTGAGAAACAAATTGTCGAGCACCAGTCTGTAGGTGCCGTCGTTCCCAGAGAATTCGAGTTATTCTCACCAAACGAACTAATCGTAGAGCTACAATCAGGCTGTAAGAAAATGATTAAGTCATACTTGAATATCTACAGTGCAATACAGTAAATGTATTTGTATGTAATGTATATAACAATTCATGAGGAACACTATATACTGTAGGTGGTCTTATGAAGCTAGAGGGGCTGCTGTGGATGACTGCTGGTGTGTTGTAGTGCTAGTTTATCCAAGATGCTATACAGTATGTATGTATGTATGTATGTGTATGTTCACATAATTGTATTCACCTAGTACTCACCTATTTGTGCTTGCGGGGGTTGAGCTCTGGCTCTTTTAGCCCGCCTCTCAACTGTCAATCAACTGGTGTACAGATTCTTAAGCCTACTGGGCTCATCAAATCTACATTTGAAACTGTGTATGGAGTCTGCCTCCACCACGTCACTGCTTAATGCATTCCATTTGTTAACTACTCTGACACTGAAAAAATTATTTCTAATGTCTGTGTGGCTCATTTGAGTACTAAGTTTCCACCTGTGTCCCCTTGTTTATGTTCCACCCATGCTAAAGAGTTTGTCTTTGTCCACATTGTCAATTCCCCTAAGAATTTTGTAGGTGGTTATCATGTCTCCCCTGAATCTATTGTTTTTCTGGGACATGAGGTTTAGCTCCCTTAGCCTTTTTTCGTAGCTCATACCTCTCAGTTCTGGGACTAGTCTGGTGGCATACCTCTGAATCTTCTCTAACTTTGTCTTGTGTTTAACTAGGTATGGACTCCTTGCTGGAGCTGCATATTCCAGGATTGTTCTTGCATAAGTGGTATACAAGGTCCTGAACAATTCCGTACACAAGTTTCTAAAGGCAGTTCTTATGTTGGCCAATCTAGCATATGCCACTGATGATATACTTTTGATGTGAGGTTCTGGAGACAGTTTTGGTGTGATATCAACTCCCCAGATCTTTCTCTCTATTTGACTCTTGCAGGATTTCACCTCCCAGATGGTACCTTATGTTCAGCCTTCTGCTCCCTTCGCCTAATTTCATTACTTTACACTTTCCTGAGTTGAACTTTAGTAGCCATTTTCTAGACCATACCTCCAGTTTGTCCCGGTCGTCCTGTAGTCCCTGCCTATCTTCATCTGTCCTGATTCTTCTCATAATTTTTCCATCATCAGCAAACATTCCTAGGAATGAGTCTTATACCCTCTGGAAGATCATTTATATATATTAGAAACAGGTTGTGTCTAAGTACAGAGCCCTGTGGGATTCCGCTGGTGACATCTCGACACTGATGTATCCCCCACACAGTTACTTGCTGTTTCCTGTTGTGCTCTCATGTGTGTGTGTGTGTATATGTATGTATATGTATGTATGTGTGTGTGTGTATAATATTATATATATATATATATGTCGTACCTAGTAGCCAGAACGCACTTCTCAGCCTACTATGCAAGGCCCGATTTGCCTAATAAGCCAAGTTTTCTTGAATTAATATATTTTCTCTAATTTTTTTCTTATGAAATGATAAAGCTACCCATTTCATTATATATGAGATCATTTTTTTTTATTGGAGTTAAAATTAATGTAGATATATGACCAAACCTAACCAACCCTCCCTAACCTAACTTAACCTATCTTTATAAGTTAGGTTAGGTTAGGTAGCCGAAAAAGTTAGGTTAGGTTAGGTAGCTGAAAAAGTTAGGTTAGGTAGTCGAAAACCAATTAATTCATGAAAACTTGGCTAATTAGGCAAATCGGGCCTTGCATAGTAGGCTGAGAAGTGCGTTCATAAAAACCTAACCTAACCCATAAAGATAGGTTAGGTTAGGTTAGGTAGGGTTGGTTAGGTTCGGTCATATATCTACGTTAATTTTAACTACAATAAAAAATAATTGACCTCATACATAATGAAATGGATAGCTTTATCATTTCATAAGAAAAAAATTTGAGAAAATATATTAATTCAGGAAAACTTGGCTTATTAGGCAAATCGGGCCTTGCATAGTAGGCTGAGAAGTGAGTTCTGGCTACTAGGTACGACATATATATATATATTTATTTATATTTATATTAATAGGGTATTAAATGTATCAACATAGTTACACGTGTGATTACTCCGAGATGACCCGATTACTGTCGGCGATTCAGGATGTTGTTGTGGTATTGAGAATGATGTTGCTTAATACCTCCATCTTGCAAATGAAGTGTAAGACGTCTATTCAATGTATTCGTGGTATGTCCAATGCAGCATATATTTCATTTTACTAAGAACTAATGATACTATTGTACCATATTTACCAAGGTAAAATGCATTAATAATTATGCAGTGTTTCATGACACAAAATTTGCATTACAGTACTGGTACAGTATATAATAATTATTCCCATTGTATCTAGGTCCCTTCTAGGATGATGCACTGAAATTCCACAGGATACAACCCCACAACAATTGCCTAACTCCTGGATATCTATATACTGCTTGACGAGCAGAGGCATTAGGTGAAAGGAAATGTATTCAACCATTTCTTTCCCACCCGGAAATCGGACCTGGGATCCCTAATTGTGAACTGAGAACAGAGCCAATAGCTTTGACAGCTACTGTTGGAAAATTATTTGGTAACTCACCTGGCCGGATTAGAGGACATGTTCTCCACACACACCGTCACCACAGACAGAATGAAGGTAAACACAACCAGGAAACAATCTAAGGCATTGTGCCATGCTCTGAAGAACACTCGAGGTCTGTTGAGGTAAAGGTAAACTTGTTTATTCAGGTTTGGAAATACTGTATGATAAATATAATATTGCAATGAGTATATCCCGTTTCTGCTTGCAGTCATATTTGAAAAATAGTTTTTATACTCATTTAAACATGCATGTGAATTATCATTATTAATTATTATTGTACTTAAGAAGCATTTAATGCAGATATATGATATCAAGGAAGACAGTACAAGGTTCTGAGAATGACTACAGAAAGGGTGTACAAATACAATATATGATTGGTGTCACATAAAATAAAAATCCCTATTCAGATTCTCTCAAAGTTTTTTTACATTAGTCTCAGATTTAAGATTTGTTATATCAACAGCTTTGCAGCGAAAGAGGATATAAGTGATATTAAAGTGTAGACCTTACCTGATTATTCAGATTAGAGTGAATAATAATTACTTAGTTCACAAGCAACATGTATGTAGGATGAGGATATGCATTAACTTGATGAAGATCTGTGCTGTACATGTAAAACCTAATTTAATCTTATAAGAAAAGCATAGATAGAAAATTTAATAGAGGTACTTTTCACTAACATCTCTTGAAAAATGAATACACAATATTAACAAATTAACAAAAAATTAACTTACCCTAAGCCAAATATCCTTAATGTAACTTCAATCATAAAATACGTAGAGAAGGCAAGGGAGCAGTACTCGATAGGATCATTATTGATGGAGTGGTTGAAGAGATCCACGAAGAGGAGAATCATGTCGATCAAAATCAGCAGTGCTGTCAATAATCGCACTACGAAGTGCTCTACAAAACGCCGAGTACGCCACTGCATATAGCTACATGTAAGGAAAAATAACATTTTACTCTGAGATTATGATATATTATTAGACTGATATACTGTACTTCTAAAGTAGACATAGTATTTTTACAACCTTTCTCTACACCCACAGTTTAGTCTCCACTTCTAACAAAATCACCTGCATGCAATGTTTTAAGTCATTATATCAACATTCATTCTGAGCTGTAGTGCTTGGTTGCTCTCCAAGGTAAAGTCTTACTGGTCCCCTCGGCAGGATTTGGAACAGCAGCAGAGCAGGTCAACACTCTGCACTTGCACAGCAGGAATAATTTAAAATATCCCTGCTGTGTCATATTGGTGTTAAACTAAAGAAACAAAGAAAAAGACTAATCCAGTCCAGAATGACCTCCAGAAAGTTCATTTTGCCATACTCAAAGCCTTTCCAAACCACACAGTTTGAATATATGACATAAAAGAATATAAAAAGAAAGAATGCATATAGAAAAACATGTAATAGACATACCCATGACAGCAGAAGCCAACACATCAGGCCCAGGGCTAAGAAGCAGATGGACTTCAGACAAAAATGAGGTAACCCAGTGTCATGCAGTGCTGGCAAGGAAGAGAAACATCTAGCAGGTAGCAGGCCACCAACACAAATGGACATGTTAGAGAAAAATGCTGCCAAAGTAGTATAATTGCCAAGGCCATGAGCTCTGAGATAGACATAGCTTAATTTGACCACCTGATAAAAGATCTGCCAGATCTAGGTTTCTGAACAAGGATCCATAGAAAGGAGATTATGAATCAAGCAGAGGAAAAAAAAAACCCTTGTACCTAACAAAGAGCTCCTAATAACTGTTGTAGGAAAGTGTGTAATGTATGCTAGACCTCACGAACAACACCTGAACAACCATGGGATGGCTTCCTTGGTTGTTCAAGCCTGATGCAAGGTTAAAACCTATCCCTTGTCCCAAAACACAAGGATCAATGCCTCCTGCACAAGGTTTGCAGCTCTCTCACCCTGCTGCTAGAAGCTAAAGCTAAGAAGCCTTGAATATACTTAATAAAAAGAGGCACTCAGAGCTGAGGAAATACAGCATAGGAATTCTAAAATTCGATCTAGAGTCCATATCATCTAAAGAGGACCATTAGCAATCCACTAATAAAAGAATTTTATTAATGGAGGGCTAATGTTCTAAATGCTCTGGCCAATTTTACAAAGAAGCAGAAGCTAAGTCTAAACCAAACCTAAGCAAGAGAGGCACCAACACAGCTGACCAATGAGAAGCAACAGTATAAGATAATGATCCATAAAAAAACCAGCATAGAATGTAATGAAACACCATTTTCTGGGGGAGACCTGGAGACTCCTCGGAGGTATACCAGGCTGATGTGAATATATTAGACTATAGCAACAGTCAATTGATGGAGTTCTTAGCCTACCTTGGACCATGAGCCAGAACCTGGCCCCCTCAGAGAGGCACGAGGAGCAATGGCCTATAAACACCCCCATGTAGTTGGAAGCAGTCTATGTCTGCCATCTACCAGGTCAGGCACCCAGAAAGGTAGGAATCCCAAAACAATCTACAGCTGGTTAAAAATTTCAAACCATAAGCCAAATGAGCAGGCAGAACTCTCCAATAAGAAAACAAGCAAACAAGCATGATGTCACCACAGCCGCTGCGCTGATGTCTGCGCAGCTTCCCCCTCCCTGAGAGGGGAAAGGGGAAGCCTCAGACCTCCTGCACCGGCTATCCAACCCCAGTTCAGAGCCTGAATATCAAAAATGCCAAAAAAAAGCCGACCAGAGGGAGGGAGGGAGGGATACTGGGGAGCCTCTGGGTCTCACCCAAAAAATGGCATTTCATTACATTTAACGCTGGTTTTCTGTGGAGAACCCCTTTGGCTCCCCGGAGCTACTTAACCAAAAATAAAGCAAAAGAGGGACTTACCCGAGAAGCTGCTGCCACTCTCCTCAATTCAAAGTTGTTACAACTAGCCGCAACCTGTGACCCAAGGCTACACAAGCCTGAGAAGGGCCAGGAACAATAACGAGGTACCGTGCAGCCAGGAACAATAATGAGGTACCGTGTAGCCAGGAACAATAACGAGGTACCATGCAGTCAGGAACAATAACGAGGTATCGAGCGGCCAGGACCCTGTTCAACCTCCAAAAACCCCGTGCCTGAATGTCAGCCCAGGACATATTACCAAAAACAGCAGCCAAAGCCATGAACTTACGAATGCTGCCAGCATGGGGATAGACCGCAGGCTAGCTGGACCGAATAATCCTGCAGACAACCTGGGAGACTCGTGCCCTGAAACGAGGAAGAAGGGAAAATGGGTCAACCCAAACTGGGTCCCCTGCCACGGAGGCCATGACATGCAAGTAACGGCAAAGAGCAGCAACTGGACGCAAAGCATGATGCACCCCCGGCCGAACCAACCAAGCATCAACAACCCTAGGACCCCTCTGGAAAACAGCAGTCTCATTCTTCGCTAGAAAAGAAGGTGATGGCTGCAAACAAACAAACCAATCACCAGGACCGAAAGAGCAGAAACCCCCTGCTCTTTCGTTTAATTTTAATTCCGGAGGAGAGTAAGAAGCTCCCCGATCTGACCCCGCAGAGGCCAATGCCAACAAGAAAAAGAGCCCTAGAAATACAGTCCTGAACCGAAGGGACCACCACAAACTGAGGAGAAGAGAAAAGAGAGCACCCGGTCCAACGACCAGGACAGCTCAGGCAGAGCACATGAGCAGGCCAGAGGTGAAACTATGTGCGAGAAAGCTTGCGGAACAGAACAGAAGTGACATCCACCCCGAAAGCAAGTTGAAGCGGCTCCACCAGCGCCGCACGATACGAGAGGACAGTATTCAGCATAAGATGACAGTCCTGAAACAACCAAGAGAGAAAGAATTCTTTTCGATTAGAAATCGAAGAGCACCTACGAAGAATCAAGAAGTGCCGAAAGGACTGCCAGGAAACTTCATACTGCCACCGAGATGACACTCGCAGGTTGGACACCATCAATGAAGCCACCTGATCACCATACAAGTGGTGATAGAAACCAAGGCTGGACCAGCCACCATGGGGCCAACAGGACTACTCTTCCCTGGTAAGTCTCCAAGCAAGCCAGGAACCAGAGCAACATCCGAACCGGGGGAAAGAGTTACAGGTAACCCCCACCTCGACCAGTCTAGTTGAAAGGCATCGACCCCAATGGCCTTGCAGTTGGGGAAGGGCACCGCATATACAGTACTAGAAGATACCTCGACCATGCCACTGTGAAGAGGTCCACCCAGCCAGGCACCAAAATATCTGGCAGAACCAACGGAACGAGTCGGCGTCAACTGTCCATTCCGTGGACAGGGGGATGAAACAAAACAGGCCATCTGCCAGGACGTTGAACACTTAATGGATATGAACCACCAGGCGAGCCAAACCCCGAGAACTCAGCAGATAAGTCACCTGAAACGACCAGCCCCAAAGAGCCAAGGGCCACATTGAACCTCCACAGTTCAGACAATGAACCCAGCGACACGAACCCTCCAAAGCTAAAACCACACTGCCACGAACTCCCGCACTGTGCTATGAGCCCAATGGAAGAACAGACCCCACCGACCCTGGGCGGCCTGGTGAGCACTGGTCATAAAGCCCCAGACGAGAGCCAATGCATCCGTGAACACATCGAAGGAGGGCCTGGGTAGGCACCACCACACTGAACCCCAAAAACCCAAAGAGGAAGCCGGCGATGCAACAGCTGATGCAAGGCCCCCGATGTCCGAACCCAGCGATTGCGAGAGGGGCAGACGGGATGCCTCCAAAGGAACCAGAACAGCAGCCGAAGTCAGATCCAACCAAACGGGTAGAACAGCACGGCGAAGTTCAGGTTCCCGCATAGCTGCTTGAGTAACCAATGAGTGACCAGGGTGCCCCCAAAAACAGCCGAAGGCAGGCTCGCAGCTGCAGCAACCCTGCGGAAGGGAGAGACAAGGAAGCGGTCCGAGAGTCCCCATACAAGACCCAGCCAAGTCCGAACCTGAGAGGGAACCAAATTGGACTTCCTCCAGTTCACCAAGAACCCGAACTCAGCAAGCTGGGAAAGAACCAAATCTCTGGCGAGCAGATACGTGGACTGTCTGGGAGCCCAGATCAGTCAGTCATCAAGGTAAGCCAGAACCCGAACCGCTAACAGATGCAAACGGGTTATCACGACCCGGGTAAGGCGTGTGAAAACACAAGGAGCCAGATTCAAGCTGAAGGGAAGGCAACGAAAGCGGTAAACATGCCGTACCACGACAAAACCTAGCCAGTTCCTGAATCCCGGATGAATCTGGATGTGCCAATACGCGTCCTTGAGGTCCAGAGACACTATCCAAGCATCCAGTTCCAAAAGAAGCTGGACCTGGGAAACGAGGGGCAAAAGAGCCAGGGGATCAGACTGGACAAGTCCAGAATGAACCGCAGGTTCGCACAATCCCATTACAGAACTGGAAACAGGCGGGAAACCCACCTGAGGGATGCGGTCGTTTCGAGCATGCCCAAGCGAATCCACTCCAGGATGATCCGACAGAGAGCAGGAGAAGAGGACTGCCCCACCAGCCCTGAAAACCCTGAAGGAGGAGGAGCCACCCAATGAAACTGCAGGCTGGAGGAAACGAATTGAAAAGCCCACAAATCGTGGGACCAGGAGCAAGAAAAATGTGTCAGCCTCCCCCACATTGCCCCGTCAACTGGGCGAACTGCGAAAGCACCAATGACCCTTATGAGAGCGTGACCGACTAAGGAGGAAAAATCCTTGCCCGGACACAAGCCTATGAAAGATAGGTTTACGCTTGTGCTGTGTTCAAATGTGACTGGCGATTTGAAAATTAAACCCTTGCTAGTGTATCATTCTGAAAATCCAAGGGTTTTCAAACAGTATAAAGTGCAGAAAACCCAAATGTGTGTGATGTGGAGGGCTAATAAAAAGGCATGGGTGACTAGGATTTTTTTTCGGAGTGGGTGAATGAAGTGCTGTGCCCTGCCATAGAAAAATATCTGCAGGAGAAACATTTGCCACTCAAGGCCCTGCTTCTCCTCGACAATGCTCCTGCTCATCCTCCAGGATTGGAAGATGAATTGATGTACAGATACAGTAAATTTTCCACATACAGTTCCTTCCTCCTAACACCACTCCTCTAATTCAGCTTATGGACCAGAAAATCATAGCAAATTTTAAGAAACTGTATGAAAGGGCACATTTCCGGAAATGTTTTGAAGTGACTGAAGCCTCAAACCTCACTCTCAAAAGGTCAAAAGGTTCTGGAAAGACCATTTTAACATTTGTAGTTCTTTAAAACTCATTAACAAAGCCTAGCAAGAAGTGACTCAAAGAACCCTGATCTCTGGCTGGAGAAAATTGTGGCCTGAATGTGTGACAGAACTAGACTTTGAGGGGTTTGAGCCTGTAAATGATGCGCCTATTGTTGAGGAAATTGTTACTCTGGGCCGGCAAATGGGCTTAGAATTGGATGGTGATGATGTGGAGGAGTTGGTGGAAGAACACAACGAAGAACTGACCACCGAAGAACTCCAAGCCCTTCAAAAGGAACTGCAAGACGACCCAGTTGATGATGTTTCTCCAGTGGAGGAGGATGAGGCAGTAGCGAATGTCCCTTCTGCAGAAATTAAGAAGGTGTGCCAGATGTAGGAAGAGATTCAAACTTTTATTGAAAAGACTCACCCAGAGAAAGTTGTAGTAGGCCGTTGCCTTAATCTTTTCAATGACAATGTGATGCCTTACTACAGAGACAGCTTGCAAAGAAGGGAAAAACAAGCTTCCATGGACAGATTTGTTGTGAGAAAATCGAGCAGTGAGCCACAATCAGGACCTAGTGGTACTCAGGCAAAACGTGCCAAGGTGTGCACACCAGAAAGGTCCTCACTGCCTGATGTTATAATGGAAGGGGACTCCCCTTCCAAACAGTAACACCTCTCCTCCTCCCCCCTCCTCACCATCTTCCATACGCCTACAGCATTCATCAACAAGGGTAAGTAATAACCTGAACATAGTTTTGTGGGTTTATTTAGATGAATTAGGTATAAAATTTAGTTTGAAGTGGGGTTTTTGGGGTAGTCAGGAATGGATTAATTCATTTCCCATTATTTTCTTATGGGGAAATTAGCTTCGGAATACGAGTTTTTGGAATACGAGCCGTCTCCAAAAACGGATTAAACTCTTAAACCGAGGTACCACTGTATAATAATAATAATAATAATAATAATAATAATAATAATAATAATAATAATAATAATAATAATAATGTTAATAATAATAATATTTCAGTAATAAAATATGTATACATAAGTACATATACAGAGGTATATTTTAAGATACAGTATAGTTTAAAAACTAAGGAGTATACTCGTTTAATTTCTAAGTGAAACAGAACGTATTCCTAAAACTGTGCTAAACAAGAAAACTTGTATATCATCAGTTACCATTGTTAAAATTGTATCATAACTGACTCACTAGAGATTGCAGCCTGGAACTGGAGGATTAGATGGGTCTACGAAACCCATCTCTATCTCTAGCTCATGCTGGTCTGCATCATACTCCAGGAACTTGGTTGTCCTTTGCCACACCTGCAAAAACAACATATACACTTATATATACAGTATTTATATGTAAAATAGTATAATACATCACATTACTGCATAGCATGTGTAGTGCTATACTTTGACTCTATACCTAAATAATGATGAGAGTATATGTCACAACCAATTTAAAGATGCACAATGTCAGCCTTCATCCACTGCTTTTCATGACAGTTACTGTATTGTCCCTTGGTTCTACAAAGTGGTTTGTTGAATGTGAAACTGTTGTTCCCTCTTATGTGTTATATTTGACCTTTTAAAGAAGTGGTTTGAATTAATATTGTAATGTTAGATGCTATGGTGATACAATCATACAGTATGGTAATTTTAGATATTGATACTGTTTGGCTACTACATTGGTTGATGTTTGGAACAGTACGGCATCATGACAAGTGGAGTCATAAGATGATGCTGATGGTGCCATTTATTTATTTATTTATATATACATATATACAAAAAGGTACATTGGGTTTATGAGAGTACATAGAATTAAAGTTTTTACATTATTGTAAAGCCACTAACACACATAGCGTTTCAGGCAAGTCCTTACTCTAACAGATAATTTTAAGTACGTAGGTAATTTGTAGCAAACCCACCCACCCCCACCCACCCACCCCCCCCCCCCCCCCCCCCCCCCCCCTCCCTCCCTCCCTCCCTCCCTCCCTCCCTCCCTCCCTCCCTCCCTCCCTCCCTCCCTCCCTCCCTCCCTCCCTCTCTCTCTCTCTCTCTCTCTCTCTCTCTCTCTCTCTCTCTCTCTCTCTCTCTCTCTCTCTCTCCTGATAACAGCACCCAAATGACAGTGTGTTCTCAGGGGGTATGTATCTTTGTGGTAACACTTCAAAATGCACTATGTAATTAGTACATATTGCATTAATTGGTTATTGAACTTCCTATCCTTGGTTTGGTTATGTTTTAGGTAGGTTGGCTTTGGTTTGGTTAGATTAGGTTGCTTTAATACTTTGCTTTGCTTGCTCCTATACTTTAAAAGTGTAATTCATCCTCACACATTGGAAAACATGAAATTTTGAAATGCAAGAGTATCCCCTAAAATTTTACATAAAAGAAAATCTTGGCATATTAAAGAAAACATGTATAGGTTTCTGTCTTTTTTTAAACCCTCAAAGTATACTAGAAAATGAGTTATAACTTGAGAATAATTTCTTTATGATAGAGGTTCACTTGGCAGTTTATCAGTAGACTATTATTGAAACCTTAGTAACCCTTCAGAGCATCACAAAAATCTAGATAATTATTCAGGTGGTGTAACAAGAGATGCTCGGGCCAGATTCACGAAGCAGTTACGCAAGCACTTACGAACCTGTCCATCTTTTCTCAATCTTTGGCGGCTTTGTTTACAATTATTAAACAGTTAATGAGCTCCGAAGCACCAGGAGGCTGTTTATAACAATAACAACAGTTGATTGGCAAGTTTTCATGCTGGTAAACTGTTTAATAAATGTAACCAAAGCCGTCAAAGATTGAGGAAAGATGTACACGTTCGTAAGTACTAGCGTAACTGCTTCGTGAATCCGGGTTGAAGGGTCTCTCAGTACAATCACTTTAGCCTAAGAACAGGCTGTGAAAGGGCCCACATTTTTTTTTAAATTCATTTAAATTCAAATTGAATTTTAAATTCAAATTAAATTCAGTAACTACCTGTTTTTGTTCGTCCTCATCATCAGTGAGGCTTCCTGAAGTCTCTTTCTCTTCATTTTGACTCAGGTCCTTCGAGCTACCCATCTCGCTAATTTGGATGACATCATGATGGTTTGTTTGGCTGAAATGGATATGTAAAATGTTCTTTAACAAGCACCAGTTTTCTTTACTCACACACCTATATCTATCTAATCACCCCCCCCTTCCTCCCTCCCAACACACAAAATATAACAAATATAATAATATAAAGTTCTCTTTTTGCAAAGAATGGAAGATTGTTGGAGCAATTATTTTTTTAAGCGAGGAGGAGGTAAATGCCAAAACCATTGGTACTGTAGTTCCAAAGCACCATATGACAAAGAGTTCTGGGAAGATGGGACTCCATTAACATAACTCTCTTCCTGTAACTATACTGCAGTAATTAGTGTACTCAGGTAATTACACACACAAAATGGGGCACACGCACTAGGGGACACAGGTGAAAATTGAGTGCCCAAATGAGCCATAGAGACGTTAGAAAGAATTTGTTCAGTGTCAGAGTAGTAGACAAATGGAATGCATTAGGCAGTGATGTGGTGGAGGCTGACTTCATACACAGCTTCAAGTATAGATATGATAGAGCCCAGTAGGCTCAGAAACCTGTACACCAGTTGATTGACGGTTGAGAGGCGGGACCAAAGAGTCAGAGCTCAACCCCCGCAAGCACAATTAGGTAAGTAAGTACACACACACACACACGTCTATAGGTAACTTAGCAAGTTCTTAAATGAATATGATTGGGAAGATTTGTTAGACAAATTTACCTGAGAGCCACTAACACTAGTGGCCTCGACGAGGACGGGAAGCCGGCGGCTTGTCAAAGGTCCTCCGCATTTATCCTGATGATCTTTTCCAGTTGTATTTTAAAATGTAAGAGTTTTGGTATCAACTTCTGTAGGTAGGCGGTTCCATGGGTTTATAATCCTATGGGTGAAAAAGCATCTCCTGTTCTTTCCAACATTGTGGCTTGTTGAGCTTGAAACCGTTGCTCCTCGTTTGTGTTACATCTGATCATCTTTTGAAGAAATGGTCCGTATCAACATCCTCAAATTTGTTCAGTAGTTTAAGTTTCTATGAGATCCGCCCTGTCATGCCTGGTTTGTTGTGCTGTTAGCTCTGTGGCCCTCAACCGTTAGTGATACGAGAGTTGACTTGGCTCTGAAATTATTTTTGTTGCCCTTTCTCCAAAAGGGCAATATCTACATAGCTTTCTTGAAGTAGTGCCGGACCAACGGGGCTGTGTTGCACGTTCTCCAAAGCCGCTGTGTCCTGAAGATGAGATCTCTGTGCTTGGCTACAGTAATCCTGATGGAGGCGCACCAGAGATTTATACAACTGAATCACTACCTTCTTTTCCTTCAAATGAAAGGTACGCTTAATTATTCAAAGGGTTTGACAATGAGATAGATGTACTACTGAAATACATCCTGAAGTCTCTCTGGATCCCTGATGATGATTCCATGTTGTTGTAGATTCAGCTACTGGGAAGAAAAAGTTCCAAGTAGCACGGGCTATGGTGAGCCCTTAGTGGACTTACCTGGCACAGGAACGGGGCTGTAACTAAATGGATGATGATTGATGATTGATTGATGAAGAGCAAGCCATCCAAGAGGTGGCACGGGCATGAATAGCCTGTAATGGTTCGGGATGATGATCCATGTAGCACGGGCTATGGTGAGCCCGTAATTTCACCATCGTGAACCCGAATCATTGTTGATGATTCGTTGTTGTTGTTGTTAGATTCAGCTACTCGGAACAAGTTCCAAGTAGCACGGGCTATGGTGAGCCCGTAACTTACCTGGCACAGGAGCAGGGCAAGAAGAACGGGCTATGGTTAGCCCCGCCCAATGGTTGATGCTTGATTGATTGATTGATAAAGATTTAGCCACCCAAGAGGTGGCACGGGCATGAATAGCCCGTAAATGGTACAATTTTTTTTTCTCAGTAGGTTGATGCTTCGCTATCGACTGCTTATATTACCAATCCACACCTCATCTGATCATCCTCTAGCAGGTTTGGGAGAGGTATTAATTGTAATTAGTGAACCAAGTAGAATTAACAGACCCATCTCATTATCAGCACTTAAGCTAATGAGAATATGGAGCAAATATGTTACAGACATAATATACTTCCTAAATAACTCCCCCCCCCCCCCAGGGGATGAAAGAAGAATGCAACAGAAATATGATCAGCCTCCACAAGCACAACTAGGTGACAGCCACAAGGATTTGACAGGAAAGAAACAGTTGGGTTAATTTATCTCCACCTAAAAGGTACTTTTGTCAGTCTCAATGAGAGGTACCTGGTTGATACCTGGTTGACGGGGTTCTGGGAGTTCTTCTACTCCCCAAGCCCGGCCCGAGGCCAGGCTTGACTTGTGAGAGTTTGGTCCACCAGGCTGTTGCTTGGAGCGGCCCGCAGGCCCACATACCCACCACAGCCCGGCCCGAGGCCAGGCTTGACTTGTGAGAGTTTGGTCCACCAGGCTGTTGCTTGGAGCGGCCCGCAGGCCCACATACCCTCCACAGCCCGGTTGGTCCGGCACTCCTTGGAGGAGTGGAGGTAGTTCTGGAAGCTGGAACATGCTGAACTTTAAAGAACACCTTAAAAGAACACTTGAGTTTTTTTACAACTTTAAAGAACACAAAGACAGGAAGACTTCCAACATACCTTGAGGTTACCTTGAGGTGCTTCCGGGGCTTAGCGTCCCCGCGGCCCGGTCGTCGACCAGGCCTTTTGTACATGGGTACAAAAATTCTAACCCAAATGATTGCGGTAAGGAGAGGTACTGTATGAGGCTGAGGAACTGCTACCAGTGGAGTACCATTGGTCGTTCCAGTTCCAGCACAAGTAGAACTGGATATGAACAAATCCACAAGGGCCGTGACGAGGATTCGAACCTGCGTCCGGGAGCATCCCAGACAAGGGCAGGTTCGAATCCCCGTCACGGCCCTTGTGGATTTGTTCATTTGATGCATTACGTTAGTGTGTGATCTCTGTACTCACCTAGTTGTGCTTGCGGGGGTTGAGCTCTGGCTCTTTGGTCCCGCCTCTCAACCGTCAATCAACAGGTGTACAGGTTCCTGAGCCTATTGGGCTCTATCATATCTACACTTGAAACTGTGTATGGAGTCAGCCTCCACCACATTGCTTCCTAATGCATTCCATTTGTCAACCACTCTGACACTGTGTGTGTGTGTAGAACTGTATATGTTCATTGTCTATATAAACGATCTACCAGAAGGAAAACAATTACGGGCTCACCATAGCCCGTGCTACATGGACACTTCGTCCTGAGTGGCTAAATCTTTAACAACAAACAAAGGAATACATAAATATATGATCATGTTTGCTGAGGATGCTAAGCTACTAGGGAAGATAAAGAGACTTAAAGGAGTGTCATACTCTTCAAGATCATCTGGACAAAATAAATTAATTGAGCAATACTTGGCAGATAGAAGTCAATATCAATAAATGCCACGTTAGGGAATGTGGAATAGGAGAAAATATGCTACACACAACCTACAAATTATGTGAAAAGGCATTCAAGAATTTGAACAAAGAGAGAGATTTGGGAGTAGTTCTGGATAGCAAATTGTTACCAGAGATGTATGTATATATGTATACGTATGTGTATGTACATGTATATATATAACATTAATAATTTTGTAACTAGCGTCCAAAGATTGTTATTTGCTTAGCTAAACGAACTAGAGGGTTCAGTTCCTGAACCGATTATGTGCCTCTGTAATCCTTTACACCACCGCCCACGGGATGGGTATGGGGTGCATAATAAGGATCTGGGTGTACTCATGTCGGAAGACCTTACCTTTAAAGAACACAATAAAGTAGCCGTCACAACTGCAAGAAAAATGACAGGTTGGATAACAAGAACCTTTCACACTAGAGATGCTATACCGATGATGATACTCTTCAAGACGCTAGTGCTCTCTAGAGTGGAGTACTGCTGCACAATGACAGCCCCTTTCAAAGCTGGAGAAATTGCTGACCTGGAGAGCGTGCAGAGATCCTTTACTGCTAGAATCCACTCAGTAAAACATCTAAACTATTGGGACCGACTAAAGAGCCTAAATCTGTATTCTCTTGAGCGCAGGCGGGAGAGATACATAATAATTTACACGTGGAAAATATTAGAGGGGCTGGTCCCAAACCTGCACACAGAAATAACATCACATGAGACCAGAAGGCATGGCAGGATGTGCAGAATACCCCCGTTGAAGAGCAGAGGTGCAACAGGTACTCTGAGAGAGAACTCTATAAACATCAGAGGCCCGAGACTGTTCAACACGCTTCCGCTACACATAAGGGGCATAACTGGCCGATCCTTCACAGTGTTCAAGAGAGAACTATCAACATCAGAGGCCCGAGACTGTTCAACACGCTTCCGCTACACATAAGGGACATAACTGGCCGATCCTTCACAGTGTTCAAGAGAGAACTATCAACATCAGAGGCCCGAGACTGTTCAACACACTTCCACTACACATAAGGGACATAACTGGCCGACCCCTCACAGTGTTCAAGAGAGAACTATCAACATCAGAGGCCCGAGACTGTTCAACACGCTTCCACTACACATAAGGGACATAACTGGCCGACCCTTCACAGTGTTCAAGAGAGAACTATCAACATCAGAGGGCCCTTCACAGTGTTCAAGAGAGAACTATCAACATCAGACTGTTCAACACGCTTCCACTACACATAAGGGACATAACTGGCCGATCCTTCACAGTGTTCAAGAGAGAACTATCATAGCGTTTCGGGCGTTTTCTATGTAGAAAATAGTCATGGGAACTGATACAGAAGAATTCTTGAAGCTTGCAGCCTTAAGAGTAAGATGTCACAGGTTCAAGCTACGGATACCTTGAGGGTTATCTTGAGATAATTTCGGGGCTTAGCGTCCCCGCGGCCCGGTCCTCGACCGGGCCTCCTTTTTGTTACACCCCCCTAGGAAGCAGTCATTAGCAGCTGTCTAACTCCCAGGTACCTATTTACTGCTAGGTAACAGAGGCATTAGGATGAAAAAAAAAACATTTTGCCCATTTATCTCCGCCTTCACCGGGGATCGAACCCGGAACCTCAGGACTTCGCATCCCAAGCGCTGTCCACTCAGCTGTCAGACGGATAACAAAGTTGTGAAAAAAAGTGCGCTGAGAACGGGTCGATTGGCGGCCACATGCTTGACCTTACCTGTCTGAGGCTGCATAAATATGTCCATTTTGGTGCAGATTAAGTTGAGAAGGGTCGATGGCCTGGCCGCGGGTGGGGGAGGTGGCGGCCACCCCGCCTGTAGCCTCATCCCGGGCCCCCGCGGGCATCTCATTGTCAAACTTCTCGTACCGAATTCTGAAAATGAAGATAAATATTCTTATTTTATCCGTCGAAGCTTCAAAAGGACACATGTAGAAAACTTGTAATAATGGTATACTGAGTATACTATAATAATGGTATACTGAGAAGATCAGTAGCAGCCATGGCGAGGATTCGAACCTATGTGTTGAAATTGAAATAAGTTTATTGAGGTAAAATACACACCAAGGGATGAGGTAGCTGCAGCTATTCTCACCCCGTTCAGTACAACGTGTTAATACATACATACACACACATCACAAACAATAAACATATTACCAAACATTCTGAGAGATAAACATCTACATTTCCTTACTGTGTGTTGGGTACGCTAAGTAGCGCTCATTGACACATCACGTTAATGTGATTTCTTGGTACAATGGAAAACATTATTTGTCAGATATGGATGCTGTTCTTAAAAGATTTCCCCATTTTGCACCCGCAAGATAACGTAAGATTTTAAGGGTTGACGAATGTTACTCTTCTTGTGTTATAAGCTGTTCACTTGAGACAGTTAAGCAAGTCCCAGCTGTGTCTGGGTACAAGTGACAGGATGAACAACCCAGCGGGTTTTCTTCCTATTGGGGAGTGTTGTACATGCTGCTATGGCGGTGTGTCCACTCACAGGATGAGTGGCGCTGCCCAATACTGTCACTATGGTGGTGTGTCCACTCACAGGATGAGTGTCGCTGCCCAATACTGTCACTATGGCGGTGTGTCCACTCACAGGATGAGTGTCGCTGCCCAATACTGTCACTATGGCGGTGTGTCCACTCACAGGATGAGTGACGCTGCCCAATACTGTCACTATGGCGGTGTGTCCACTCACAGGATGAGTGACGCTGCCCAATACTGTCACTATGGCGGTGTGTCCACTCACAGGATGAGTGGCGCTGCCCAATACTGTCACTATGGCGGTGTGTCCACTCACAGGATGAGTGACGCTGCCCAATACTGTCACTATGGCGGTGTGTCCACTCACAGGATGAGTGGCGCTGCCCAATACTGTCACTAGGCGGTGTGTCCACTCACAGGATGAGTGGCGCTGCCCAATACTGTCACTAGGCGGTGTGTCCACTCACAGGATGAGTGACGCTGCCCAATACTGTCACTAGGCGGTGTGTCCACTCACAGGATGAGTGGCGCTGCCCAATACTGTCACTAGGCGGTGTGTCCACTCACAGGATGAGTGGCGCTGCCCAATACTGTCACTAGGCGGTGTGTCCACTCACAGTGAGTGGCGCTGCCCAATACTGTCACTATGGCGGTGTGTCCACTCACAGGATGAGTGTGCCCAATACTGTCACTATGGCCCACTCACAGGATGAGTGGCGCTGCCCAATACTGTCACCATGGCGGTGTGTCCACTCACAGGATGAGTGACGCTGCCCAATACTGCCACTATGGCGGTGTGTCCACTCACAGGATGAGTGGCGCTGCCCAACACTGTCACTATGGCGGTGTGTCCACTCACAGGATGAGTGACGCTGCCCAATACTGTCACTATGGCGGTGTGTCCACTCACAGGATGAGTGGCGCTGCCCAATACTGTCACTATGGCGGTGTGTCCACTCACAGGACGAGTGGCGCTGCCCAATACTGTCACTATGGCGGTGTGTCCACTCACAGGATGAGTGGCGCTGCCCAATACTGTCACTAGGCGGTGTGTCCACTCACAGGATGAGTGTGAGTGGTGCTGCCCAATACTGTCACTATGGCGGTGTGTCCACTCACAGGATGAGTGACGCTGCCCAATACTGTCACTATGGCGGTGTGTCCACTCACAGGATGAGTGACGCTGCCCAATACTGTCACTATGGCGGTGTGTCCACTCACAGGATGAGTGACGCTGCCCAATACTGTCACTAGGCGGTGTGTCCACTCACAGGATGAGTGGCGCTGCCCAATACTGTCACTATGGCGGTGTGTCCACTCACAGGATGAGTGACGCTGCCCAATACTGTCACTATGGCGGTGTGTCCACTCACAGGATGAGTGGCGCTGCCCAATACTGTCACTATGGCGGTGTGTCCACTCACAGGATGAGTGGCGCTGCCCAATACTGTCACTAGGCGGTGTGTCCACTCACAGGATGAGTGACGCTGCCAATACTGTCACCATGGCGGTGTGTCCACTGAGTGACGCTGCCCAATACTGTCACTATGGCGGTGTGTCCACTCACAGGATGAGTGGCGCTGCCCAATACTGTCACTATGGCGGTGTGTCCACTCACAGGATGAGTGGCGCTGCCCAATACTGTCACCATGGCGGTGTGTCCACTCACAGGATGAGTGGTGCTGCCCAATACTGTCACTATGGCGGTGTGTCCACTCACAGGATGAGTGACGCTGCCCAATACTGTCACTATGGCGGTGTGTCCACTCACAGGATGAGTGGCGCTGCCCAATACTGTCACTATGGCGGTGTGTCCACTCACAGGATGAGTGACGCTGCCCAATACTGTCACTATGGCGGTGTGTCCACTCACAGGATGAGTGACGCTGCCCAATACTGTCACTATGGCGGTGTGTCCACTCACAGGATGAGTGACGCTGCCCAATACTGTCACTATGGCGGTGTGTCCACTCACAGGATGAGTGGCGCTGCCCAATACTGTCACTATGGCGGTGTGTCCACTCACAGGATGAGTGGCGCTGCCCAATACTGTCACTATGGCGGTGTGTCCACTCACAGGATGAGTGGCGCTGCCCAATACTGTCACTATGGCGGTGTGTCCACTCACAGGATGAGTGACGCTGCCCAATACTGTCACTATGGCGGTGTGTCCACTCACAGGATGAGTGAATACTGTCACTGGCGGTGTGTCCACTCACAGGATGAGTGGCGCTGCCCAATACTGTCACTATGGCGGTGTGTCCACTCACAGGATGAGTGGCGCTGCCCAATACTGTCACTATGGCGGTGTGTCCACTCACAGGATGAGTGGCGCTGCCCAATACTGTCACTGCGGTGTGTCCACTCATGAGTGACTGCCCAATACTGTCACTATGGCGGTGTGTCCACTCACAGGATGAGTGGCGCTGCCCAATACTGTCACTATGGCGGTGTGTCCACTCACAGGATGAGTGGCGCTGCCCAATACTGTCACTATGGCGGTGTGTCCACTCACAGGATGAGTGGCGCTGCCCAATACTGTCACTATGGCGGTGTGTCCACTCACAGGATGAGTGGCGCTGCCCAATACTGTCACTAGGCGGTGTGTCCACTCACAGGATGAGTGGCGCTGCCCAATACTGTCACTATGGCGGTGTGTCCACTCACAGGATGAGTGGCGCTGCCCAATACTGTCACTATGGCGGTGTGTCCACTCACAGGATGAGTGGCGCTGCCCAATACTGTCACTATGGCGGTGTGTCCACTCACAGGATGAGTGGCGCTGCCCAATACTGTCACTAGGCGGTGTGTCCACTCACAGGATGAGTGGCGCTGCCCAATACTGTCACTATGGCGGTGTGTCCACTCACAGGATGAGTGGCGCTGCCCAATACTGTCACTAGGCGGTGTGTCCACTCACAGGATGAGTGGCGCTGCCCAATACTGTCACTAGGCGGTGTGTCCACTCACAGGATGAGTGGCGCTGCCCAATACTGTCACTAGGCGGTGTGTCCACTCACAGGATGAGTGACGCTGCCCAATACTGTCACCATGGCGGTGTGTCCACTCACAGGATGAGTGACGCTGCCCAATACTGCCACTATGGCGGTGTGTCCACTCACAGGATGAGTGGCGCTGCCCAATACTGTCACTATGGCGGTGTGTCCACTCACAGGATGAGTGGCGCTGCCCAATACTGTCACTATGGCGGTGTGTCCACTCACAGGATGAGTGGCGCTGCCCAATACTGTCACTATGGCGTTGTGTCCACTCACAGAATGAGTGACGCTGCCCAATACTGTCACTAGGCGGTGTGTCCACTCACAGGATGAGTGGTGCTGCCCAATACTGTCACTATGGCGGTGTGTCCACTCACAGGATGAGTGGCGCTGCCCAATACTTTCACTATGGCGGTGTGTCCACTCACAGGATGAGTGGCGCTGCCCAATACTGTCACTATGGCGGTGTGTCCACTCACAGGATGAGTGGCGCTGCCCAATACTGTCACTAGGCGGTGTGTCCACTCACAGGATGAGTGGTGCAGCCCAATACTGTCACTAGGCGGTGTGTCCACTCACAGGATGAGTGGCGCTGCCCAATACTGTCACTATGGCGGTGTGTCCACTCACAGGATGAGTGGCGCTGCCCAATACTGTCACTATGGCGGTGTGTCCACTCACAGGATGAGTGGCGCTGCCCAATACTGTCACTATGGCGGTGTGTCCACTCACAGGATGAGTGGCGCTGCCCAATACTGTCACTATGGCGGTGTGTCCACTCACAGGATGAGTGACGCTGCCCAATACTGTCACTATGGTGGTGTGTCCACTCACAAGATGAGTGGCGCTGCCCAATACTGTCACTATGGCGGTGTGTCCACTCACAGGATGAGTGGCGCTGCCCAATACTGTCACTATGGCGGTGTGTCCACTCACAGGATGAGTGACGCTGCCCAATACTGTCACTATGGCGGTGTGTCCACTCACAGGATGAGTGACGCTGCCCAATACTGTCACTATGGTGGTGTGTCCACTCACAAGATGAGTGGCGCTGCCCAATACTGTCACTATGGCGGTGTGTCCACTCACAGGATGAGTGGCGCTGCCCAATAAACTCGCCCCTCGAGGCAGTATTACAAAAAAATATACATACACTATCCTAGAGTTCCTGGGTCAATACAATAACTTCCTCACAAGACAATTCACATAAATGTCATATTTTGACCATGTCAATGATCTGAATCAGGGTAGTTAATTAATAAATCATTAGAGACAGCCAGAGTGCCAGAGTCGTGGAAGGTTGCTAATGTGGTACCAGTTTTCAAGAAAGTTCTAAAGAATTCTTGGAATTCTGAATTCTTGAGACCTGGAACCTCAAAAACA